GACTTGGTAATTTTGTTGTTTTCTCTTTGTTTCCCTCTAAACTGTTGTCTCTGAAAGGCAGGTCAAAATTGTAAATAGACTTAATGGAAGAGTCTGGCAAAGTGTTCTGCTCTCATTATTGTATATAAGAGAAGGATGGATTTTGCAGGTCAAACTCTGGTCCTCAGATACTCAATTCCCTGCCACAATCTTTACATTTTACAAGTTGATTAATGAAGTTCCTGAGTTAATGAAGTGGGGCAGTTTCTTGATTAACTTGATCATAAGTAATTTGAAAAGGGAACAGCAACATAGTAATTGGATGGGACCCATTTGCCAAAATGACTTATCACCACTTGTGCAAAGCAAAAGAAAAATAAACATACAGCTAGTAATCTCCTCCTCCCCTCCAGGTGAAAGCAAACTGTGGCCTGCACTCTGGTGCTAGAGGAATAAAGAAGGCATGAGCAATGTCCATAGTGGCAACACCAGCTGGCTGCCCTTGACTCCAGCTTGTACTGAAGTTCTAGCATGTCTGGCACAGCAGCACTGAGTGGTGGTGTCACCTCATTCAGGCCGCGATAGTCTACTCTCAGCCTCCACTCGCCATCAGGCTTTCTCACTGGCCAAATAGGACTGTTGAAGGGTGAGTGAGTCCTGCTGATCACTCCCCTGGCTCTCCAATTGCCAGATCAGCTTGTGAATGGGGATCACAGAGTCTCTGGTGGTGCAATATTGGCATCTATGCACCGCTGAAGTGGCAATTGGCACTGGTTGGTTTTCAGCCTTCAGCAACTCTGCTAGAGAAGGGTCATCTGAAAGGCCAGACAACGTACGCAGCTGTTCAGTGTCCTCAATCTCTACAGCTGCTATACCAAAGGCCCACCAGTACCCTTTTGGGTCACGGAAATATCCTCCCTTGAGATAGTCTATGCCAAGGATGCACGGAGCATCTGGGTCAGTCGCTACAGGGTGCATTTGCCACTCCTTACCAGTGAGGCTCACATCGGCCTTGTCCTGGTTTGAGCCAGGATGAAGCCAATTTTCCTTTTACCGATTTTTCCTTCAGCAAGCTTTCTTTTAACTAGCAACAGTGTGCTCTAACTAGAGCTGATAAGAAACGCTGGATTGTTTTTGTAACTGCTGGCTCTTCAAGGTCACACCTTCACTCTGCCAGCTCAAACACTACGGGGAGATCTATGATCCCCCGTAGGAGGCTGAGTTAGACAGACAGCAAAATTGGCCAGAGATATTCCATTCCATATATCTACGTAAGCTCA